TGTGCGTGTGTGTGCGTGCATGTGTGTGTGTATGTGTATGTGTATGTGTATGCGTGCGCACGCGCGCGTGTGTGTGTGTGCGTGTGTGTGCGTGCATGTGTGTGTGTATGTGTATGTGTATGTGTATGCGTGCGCACGCGCGCGTGTGTGTGTGCGTGCATGTGTGTGTGTATGTGTATGTGTTACTGTGTATGCGTGCGCACGCGCGCGTGTGTGTGCGCGCACATGTGTGTTTGTGCGCGCGTGTGTGCGCGCGCGCGTGTGTTCGTACGTGCTTTCTTTCACGCGTGCGTCTGTATTCGCGTGTACTGTATAGAATGAAGCCATTTTCCTCACGTGATTTCTAGGTTAGCATATTTCACATAGGTGATAGGAGACACAGTTAGCTTAATTAACCGCAGACTCGACAACATCAAAACAGTGTTGATTTTTTAAGTTATGTTCGTGCACGCGCATAAGCAAACACGGGAATCTTTGCGTGCGTGCATGTGTGCGTTCGCGTACGCCTGAGCCTGTGTGTGCGCGCGTGTCTGTATGTGTATGTGTATGCGTGCGCACACGCGCGCGTGTGTGTGTGTGTGCGTGTGTGCGCGCGTGTGTGTATATGTGTGAGTGCACGTGTGTGTGTGTGCGTGCGCGCGTGTTCGTACGTGCTTTCTTTCTCGCATGCGGCTGCATGAGTGTTTTTTCTCCGGCCTATAATAGTTCGAGTGTACTGTATAGAATGAAGCCATTTTTACCACGTGATTTACCCGTTGTGAAGGTGACATAGTACTTCTCGACCATATATTTTTTTGAAAGTGTTCTACTTTAAAATTTAGTTCGTATTTAGTATAAACTACACGACACGTGCCCGGGCGTTTACGAATAAAGAATAGAGATTTGATTTCCTTTTCAAGCTACTTAATTACTACTCTAATTCTTTACAGTTAATACTCGTAAATTTGTGTAATATTCTTACCTTCAATTGAAACTCCATAAACCACCACATCGGTGACTGTTCGTAATGAATGAATGATGCACCGAATGATGTACGTCCCCATTATGTACTGAAAACAACAAAAATGCGACGACAAGCAATTGACCAAATTTGTTAATTGAAGCAAACATAGATTAACTAAAAACGATCTAGAATATTTATATATTTAACTCTCTGTATCTTGTAAAATCTTAATCGAACAAGCGTTTACAAAGAAATATAATAGTTTTTCATTTTCAAGCTTCTACAATTAATACTCGAAAACTAGTGTGATATTCTTGCCTTTAATTGCAAATCCAGTGTGCACCAATTAACTACCACGTCGATGACTGCCCATACTGAAAACAAGAAAAAGACGACGACGAACAATTGACGAAATTTGTGAATTGAAGCAAACACATTAACGAAAAACTTCTGAAACATTTATATATTTAACTCGATATAATAATCTTGTACAATCTTAATCGAACAAGCGTTTATAAAGAAAGAATAGAGAGTTGTATTTCATTTTCAAGCTATATATATCTTGTAAAATCTAAATCTACCAGTATTGGCGTAGTTATGTTATCACGCGTATGTGTACTTACAATAGGCGCATCCGGTGAAATGGCGGGAAAAAGAGCAATCAGCGGTATATATAGCTTCACGTCATACTATAGCTACTAGCGACCTCTATTTCTCAAGATTAATGTTACCAAAAATTAAATGCTAGACTACATAATTATGTTTTGACTAGACTACATTTACTTTTCTTTATATATCCCATGATATATTGTACATCGTGCAGTTTGTGGTTGCTTTTGTGGTTGCCATCACACCTGTCATTAACAAGTTACCATTTCCGCCTTCTCTGCTTTGCCTCCTGTCTTCTTAATTCCTTCCTTTGTCCTTTTCTTATCTCTCTATTTTCCTGTTTTCATGCTTGTCAGTGTGCGCATATAATTATACATCTCGCTTGATATCTCTGAAAGGGCAAATATGTTAATCGCAGTTCTACCATCCCCGCTGATCTCTTCAGATCGGATATGCGTGTGTTCTATTTTCATTTAATGACAAAAAATATTTTTTAAACGCTCATTGCCTGCATAAATTTCAACGCGTTAATTTTACTTGTGCATTTCTTTCCTCACAAATTAGCCGCGATGGATAGAAACGTGTAGTATGTAGAATATTGCGATGTTATATATATACAGCCGTTCGCCACTGTTTAATCGAAACGTTACTCGTTGAATACATAGACTGGCTTCGTAAAATATAATATGTCGTAGTCGCTTTTGGTTCCCCTGTCCGGGAAAATGTGTAAATATGGCAAATGAAGGAGGCACTTTACTTTCATATATGCCTTAGGTGTAGTTTTCGCTATAATACACTATAAAATAATATATTTGACAGCACGTGTACGTAGAACGGGTTTATTTGAATGTTGTGAAAATAAATTGTACATAAGTTCATTCTTTTCTCACTTAGCTGATATCAAAACTGTAATCAATCACACAGCTATTATTAATTTCTGGTCATCGAAATTTGACAACCTTACTTTTCTAACACTGCATAATAAAGATATATTTTCTCACAAATAAAAAACAAGCAAGGGGCACGCCATGCACTAGCATATACGCACAGATACACACGCTCGCACAAGCATATAGGCACACGCAATCACGCACACTCACGCACGCACCACGCACGCTACTTTCGTATATAATATGCTTTAAGTGTAGTTTTCGCTATAACACACTATAAAACAGTATATTTTAGAGCACGTGTAAGTAGAACGGGTTTATTTGAATGTTGTGAAAATAAACTGCACTTGGGTTCCTTTCTCCCTTCCCTAACTTGAATTTTTCCCACATTCAAGAATTCAAGAACACATTTATATATATATATGGAACGATATGTCTACAGAACTGATTAATGACAAGACTTACATCACTTACATCGAGATTTCATGGCGATGATGATTGCATGCACGACAGTAATTGTGATTATTGCACTGACAGTGCATGATCAGTCATTGAATGTAAACCATGACAAATAGACACTGGAGTGCCCAATGTTTACTGCAGCCTTACAAGGTATAAATGGACAGTCCCGAGTATGGTCAGTATTGAGAGAGTAGACTGTATTGGAACCGTTTAGAAATCGACAATACTAAAACATGACATACACAATTTCGCACACGATACTGTAACCACTGATGGTCAGCCACTCAAAATGACAACACTTCACCACCCCTTGACCTCTTAGGTGTTACAATGAAGGGTAAATAAACATCTTAAATAAGTACAGAGCATTGTGAGCGACGGTTGCACACGTAAACAATGTGTGTTTATGCCGCAGGAAATAGTGGCGCCACCGAGCGGTAGCTCCACAAACTAAAGACGGCAAGTTACAATTTGCGGCGATCCCACTGAAGGTGTGGAACCATCGAGTCCAAGCTCTACCACCACTCATCAACTATGCTAAAACTACTTTCTCTTCCTTTAACTGTGTGAGGCTCTCTGATAGATATATATATATATATATTAAATAGCCTTGAAATTTATGCTATACATGATTTAGCCATGTTAAATTTTCTTAGCGTTCAGCACCATTCTATACAAAATCAATGAAGATAAGCAGAAGTAAACTACAGATAAAATCTTGGCACCTCATTTCTATAAACTAACCTGATCTTCAGACACAGTAATGCCTTCTAACACACCAAGTCACTACAATCCTTTCTGAACATTGCACGAGTATATCTCTATAGATGCTACACAGTCACCTACAGTATCAGGGCCCTCGCTCACTGCCACCTACTCTCAATGCTCTGCCAGTATAATTCCTTTGCCAGAGTACGAAAGGAAACCTGCCAGAGTGGAAAGAGACTGTGCCACTGCACGAGACATTTGCTTACATAAAACCATTTGCCCAGTTTTGGCTTCGACCTTCTAACTACATAACGTGATTTCTTCACCCAAGATTTCCTTGTAGCTCTTCCCTCTTTGGCACCACATTCGACTACAGATCCTTGCCTTGTCCAGCAACGGCGAGGGCTGGGAACTCTCAACGTGCTCAGCAGTGGCTGGCTGCTACCGCTGGAATATGCTGCCTGCAGCAAGAACAAAGAGGGAATAAGTACAGCAGCATCATTGCCCTCGCCGCCTCGTTAACACGACGCTAATTACTCAACCCTAGCTACATTTTCCGTTTTGAATTCATTACGGAATACACGCTTTATTCGTCACGATAACTGGCAGACAAAAGACCAATCCTGGGGAGTTACATCGTGTGGATTAGTTATGCTGCATTGAATTGCAGGAAGGAAAATATGCCAACTGTTAAAACTGCTGTGTTATATGTTATCACAACAGTGGCACTATGTCATCAATCCAGATGCTATTTTGACCCAACTTGACAACCATTACAAGAATATCGTGTTTAATGCCTAGAATCACGGCGCTGTTTCATCAAGTATGGACAAAACCAGAAGATTTAAGCAAACAGTTGCAATACAAATTACATACTAAAAAAGGCGTGGCATTCTACCTTTCTGCTGAAGAAGTTTCAGCTCATGTACATCTCTGTTTAGTTTTATCCGGATGATCTGTTTTTCGATTTCTTGCCTGGAAATAACACAGAGCACGTCAGTATTCAGAAGATATAAATAACACTCTTTGTTCCAACAGGGCTCTTTTTTTTTAAATTGTACATTAAAAGAATTACGAAATACTCTACACAATGTATAATAGCAACATAATCGTTTCAGACCTGTGTTCACGATCCACTATTCCCAACTGCTCCAATCTGTCTTCGTTCAGCCGTACTAGAACTCTCCCTATATAAAGAAAAAATCGAATAGAGAAGATAAGACGCAAATGCATAAAGGAACAGATCGAGCCAATATTTCATCTATTCTATAATCAATTCAACAGTCATTTACATCTGAAGCCTAATTCATTACTAAGGTTTGATGCACATTCATACTTTTCACGTATGTAATAACAGTTCCAACTTACCATTTCAGCAACTCCTAACATATGGCAACGTAGGCAAGAACAAACCACACGTCACAGTACAATTAAAACAGTGCACGAAGAAGCAGATGCATTTTAATATGTCACGTTAACAGATGGCCACAGCTGTAGCTTACGCAGCCAACAATGAAAGCAGACCACAATAATCGATGCATACCAGATATATCATTATCAAGAAATCGGCTGGCATACAATGCCTCCATTTCGGGGAGTTGTTTCTTCATCCACCGCACCACGTCCTGAGTAGACCAGAAGTAGACAGGTTTCTGTTTGCTCTTTCGCTTATCCCTCCCACTAGACGATGTGCTGCTTGTCGTGCTCTCCTGTGAACAGAATGTAAATTTTATGTCAATGGCTTCGGGGATGCAGGGGAAGATACAAGAGTGACAATGAAACTTGTCCCCAAGCCTAGTTTAGCACCACTGATTAGTTTAGCCATAGATATAGAAGAAGATCTTCTTCTATATCTATGGTTTAGCACACATGAGTAAACACGGTAGGCCCTATACACCCCACACACAGTACACCCTACTCTGTTGTGTTGAGATGCATTTGACATTATGATTACTAGTAATACTACATGTTCCTAGGCTAGGCTTAGGGGAGACATCAATTTTAATTATCTTAAATTGGTATTATATTCGTACTAGAGACATACATCTATACCACGTACACGGTTTAGGGAAGCGTAATTCAAACATAAATGGTCCACAATCCACATGACCGGATACCATAGCCGGATAACTGATTACGTTTGACGGAGTAGAGAATGGAAACTAAACATTACGATTATACGGATGAATTACGTAGGCATTCCACGTTTCGGTGCAAGATTGCGATCCACACGAATCTATGAAACTCACCCTTCGTTTTGACGTCGACATGTGTGCATTTTCGTGTGCCATTACGATTATTTATTGAGAACTGTAAGTTATTTCCGACGAGTACGCAGTCGACATTTGTTTGGTTTACGACGAACGCCGATCTGCACGCCATCTATTGGGAACATTTAGTCAAAACTTTTAGAAAGCGCAATAATATAATGCTTAATAATAGCTGCTACTTTAGCTGCTACAAAATTAATTCTGAATCATAACAAGAGCTAATATTAATGTATACATAATAATACATGTATATTATTGTATATTACATGTGTATTTTAGCAAGCGCAATAATATAATGCTTAATAATAGCTGCTACTTTAGCTGCTACAAAATTAATTCTGAATCATAAAAAGAGCTAATATACATGTACATGTATACATAATAATACATGTATATTATTGTATATCACTTGTGTATTTGACATTTAGCATTTACATTACGTTTATATATTGTATTTTACCAGCTATACTGTATTATTCAGCATGCGTGTGATTTATAAAGATATAAAAATAGACCATATGCCACTATGTAAAGTGAATAGATAATTTAACCTATTTTTAGCGTATACTAATATACGTGATAGAGCACACGCACGCACCGCACGTGCACGTGCGTGTAGCAGCACGCCCACGTAGCGTTCGCTTTATCATATGCTGACGAACAAGATCTAATATACTGCACTTTAGGAGAAGTATTGGATTCAATGCTAAGTAATGCTAATGCATGTATCGATCACGCGAAATTTGAAAGCACAGCATTAAACCCCAACATAAGACCAGTTTAATGTATGTATAACGGATAAGCATGAAACAAGTGTAGTATTTCTGATGGAATATTTACAAAATCAACGTTGTATTAAAACCGACAAAAAGATCCGTTCTGTATCACATCGAGTATGACGTGGCTGTTTTCCTCGAATGGCTTACATCTCTCGTTGGCTAACTACTGGCATTTACTCCACACCATCTTCGCTCGCTGTCTCCATGGCGGCCACTACTTGAGTAATCTCCTGGACATGCACAGGGGCACTGCGATATGGAGACCATCAGACGGGCTGTGTTGCCGCCCCGGTTACGGCGTCTGCTCGATTCTATGCGCCCTCAACTGTCCGTGGTCTGCTTGTCGTCTGAAGCAAGTGCTTGGGGGAGGACGTTCCCACTGTTTACGACTCTGCGAGGTGTGGGAGGGACTCCTGGGGGCTGTGAGGGACTGCCTGGGCGCGTGGTGAGTAGAGCTGCTGGGGAGCTGGGAGAGGACTGCTGGGGGCTGGGGAGGAGACTGCACTGGTCGCTGGGAGGGACTGCTGCGGCTGGGTAGGGAACCTGCTGGGAGCTGGGTAGGGCCTGCTCAGGGGTAGAGTATATTGGCCTGCACTAGGGGTGGCGGATGGCTGCAAAGGTGCAGGAGGGGCGCGGTGAAGGGGTGAGCGACATGTTGAAGGACCGCCGTCGCCGAACGCGGACTGTCCAGAGGGCTCCGCCGGCACGGAGTCGGTGTGCGAGCGCGGCGACGGCCGCGGCAGTCGGCGGGCGTCACGCTCCCCGCCGGCGGCCGTCCCGCCGTTCTGGCCGGGAAGGCAGATGTTGCGAGCCGATGGGCGGCGCGGCTCGAGACCCCCGGCGCGGCGCGCCCTCGCGTCGGCGGTCCCCTGCGCGTGTCGTGCGCGCCCCGTTCAGGAGCGAGCAGGGCTCTGGCGAGTGCGGGAAGCGGCGGCGGGCTCACCGAACCAGCCTGTCCGCAGCGCGCCGGGGACCCGACCGCCGACGCGCCGGCCGGCGTCACCCGCTCCGAAGACCCCGCGACCCGAACGGTCGGGGTCGGCGTGCGGGGTCACCGCGGGGGACGTGAGCGGTGTCCGGTAAGAGGGGCGGCCAGGCGGCGGGCCGCGTGATGAAGGCGGGAGACGCGCCGCGTCCGTGCTCGACACAGGAGGCGGATCGGGAGATGTCGCTCCTTGGCTTCTGTTAGGGAACTCGCCGACGTTCTACAAGAGATAGAGAAGAACACGAATCAATAGTGTAGACGTGTATTTGTTAATAGTGAAAAATTTGCGTAAAATAATATGAATATTAGAAAACTATAATATAAAAATATATATAATAAAACAAATATAATAATACATGAAATAAACTAAGATATATATTCTAATAATATGTGACGAGATACATACAGCTTTGCTGTTGTGAGAGAAAGAAGCATGATCGATCATATTCCTACCAACCAGTGTGGGCTTACACACAACAAGAGCGCTGCCATACCACTGGGAGCTGCAATTAGGCATGCGCCTCAAGGTCAGGCAGAAATCTAATTAATCGATGATTTAATTTAAGCTATATCGTACCAGGGAATCTCCGCACTTGGAGCTCCCTGCCAAACGTCGTTCCTAAAAGGATGGCTGCCAACGCAGAGTCTCCTGCTGCCAGAGTCGTAAGTTCTCTAACCGGTGTCACGCTCACGATCCCTGGACAGGTCACGCTCCGCGCCGACTGGTACGCTGGCTGAGGGCGGAGAAACTCCCCCGCACCCGCCTTCACCGTTTCGTCGGGCATCCCTGCCTCTGCCAGAATAAGATCAGAGTTGTGGATCACCAAGCAGCTTGAATTAATTCGGCAAATTAGCATGCTGAGGGCCACTGAGATTGAGACCCGCGATTTCAAAGGCTCACTGTGGCCAACTCAGATAGGGGCCAGGCTGATGTCAGCCAAACTACTGTCTCACTGACTGTTACACCGACTGTCTCACTGACGGTTACACTGACTGTCTCACTGACTGTAACACTGACTGTAATACTGACTGACTGGTTGGCTTGCAGACTGACTAATTAATTGAGGTAAGAACCAAGTATCTCAAACATCTATCCATGCTATAACACGCACGCACGCACGCACGCACGCACGTGTCCACGCACGAACACACCTGTAGTCCGCCCCAAAACTTCACTGCGAGGAAGTTTGCGCTGCCGTCGCAGAGATACGCCGTCTGCACGACTCTGCCACTTCCCGCGTCCCGGCCGACGCCACCAGGTAGCGCCACGTGCACCACGAGTCCGACCACGTCCACTTCATCGTGCGCGAACACTCGTGCTGAGTGTAGCTGCGAGAGGGGAACCGCCTGGAGCAGGTAGGCTCATTAATATCGTGGGTCGAGTGGCAAACAAGATTCCGATTCGGAAGAATGGAAGAAATTCCGATAGAATTCCAATGGAAGAAAATTAAAGATTTTATGAATGAGCCCAATTACAAACTATGAAAGGAAAATAGCATGAAACTTGTTCTTTTAGTAACTAGTAATAAAATAAACGCCTCTACTTTCCTAACGAGAGTTAAAAGACCATAGAAATTATTGCACTTCATAATAGATAACAAGATATAATAATAAATAGAATTGCAAGAAATAAAAGCTAGGCCCAGCAATACGTGGAGACACTGCATAAGAGTTGAATACATGTTTAGAGTAAACATTTAAATAAAAATTAAATAAATGATTAGGTCCAACACAGAGTAAGTGAGAGTTAAATGAAGAATTATAAATAATTAGAGGTTAAGTGTAGAGAGATGAACTTACGTGTCTTGGCTGATAGATGTCACAGAGGGTGTGCAGGTTTAATGTCATCTCCTCGTACCGCGTCGCCCTAGTCGTCGTCAACTGCACCGCAGACGAGGTAAATCTGGACCTGGCGTGCAAAAATACCGCGAAATCTCACTATTACAAAAATATGTTGCTTCTATGCAAAATTTCAACTTCAAGCAACAATTAAATAAACAAATTTAAATTACAACTTACTGAAATCGAATTCTTAAAAAAAATGCATGCGTTTTTATATATTGTTACTTATATACGCATGAGTTCACGGATGATATTTATAAATTTTAAACTCACAATAGCGATCGAGCAAATCACACGGATCAAACGAACCAATCGGCTGTAACTCACGCACCTGGACGCAGAGACGCCCAGGTAGAAGACACGTAGAGGGCGCCCCTCACTCAGCAGCTGCAGCAGCTCCTCTCCTGGTCTCCAAGCCGTCAGCATCGCATCTACAATAAAGGTTCCCATCGAACACTGCAGTAATAACCCCTGCCAACTTTCGCCACTGTATGTTGGCTTCACGAATACTGTCCTAAGATCGACATAAGAGCGTGAAGGCATCGTCAACGAATGGAATTCACTCCACACTGTTAGTAATGATTCATATAAATGAGCAAATCTACCTGCAATCACTACTCACCTGGTGACGAGGATACCAGGTAGATGGTATGCCACAATAAATGAATGTGGCAAACTCCTAATTTGCAACTGGATTGCCCGTGGGACCGTGATGGTGTGATGTTGATGCCACTACTACTAGCTGACTACTAATCAATCTCTGTTTCCCACCTAACTACTACTACTACTACTACTACTACTACTACTACTCATCTGTTTTCACCTGCAAGCACTACTCACCTGTTTTCTTCTGCACGTCGTGTGGGTGAACGCCGATCACTCGAACCCTGTAGAGCGATACTGAGTTCCTCCTCATGGGCATCTGCTGCTTCTCCTCCTCCTCCTCCTGGGCTCTCATCAACGCCTCCTCCATCTCGCCTCGCCTCCGCTCCTGCAGCTGCTGCGCGTAGGTCTCCAGCAGCGACACCTGGTGGCCGTCCAAGCGCGCCTGCGACATACATCACGACCGTGCGCGTCGGTAAATCACGTGCCACCGAATATCGACAAGGCAATAAAACAATGGCGAGGTGAAATCTGGAGAGATGCTAGGATGTGGGTTTGAAAGGGGTGGTGATAACTGTAGCAATGCTGCAAGATCTTCTGACTCCGTGGATTTGTTAGTTGGTTCCAACGTGAAGTTTAAGTAAATTAAAACAAATTCTGCAGCACGAGCATGTGTAAATAAATAGTCACTGTAGCAGGATCATCACCCCTGAATTTGTTACTTAGTTCCAATGCGAAATAAAAAATATTGAAAAAAAAATTATTCAACTAAAAAAATACTGCAGCACAAGCGTGTGTAAATGGTAACTGTAGTTTCCGTCCACGCAATGACGTTACCGGGTTCCAACGCGGGGGTCCACGCGGTCCGGGTTGTGAGCGTGTCGCACGCGGATGCTGCGAGGGGCACGACAGGACGACTCACCCTGACGATGGCCGGATCTCCAGCTTCCGCGAGTGCGTTGTGAATCTCCTCGCCTGTGCGCAGGGCTTCTATCTGCTGCCGCTCGAAGCCTCGCATCCCTGCTCTCCTCGGCACGTCTGCAATGCAACGTCGCCATGGCGACCGACGCAGCATAATCCAGTCCGTAATGTAGGTCGTGTCATTTTTTGCTCGTGTCGTTTGTCTCTTTTCACAATTTTTATACACACTTTTCAGACCGAGGTTGAATTTGAACGTGTTACTTTCTCTGCTTGCGTGATACTAGAATGCTTGTGTGAGAACTCGCTGAGAATGTATTAGAAAGCCTGTATTTGAACTGTTACCTTGTTTTTCCTGCTCCCGCAGTAGCTTAGCGTAGAGATCTTCTAGCTTCCTCTGTCGATGAACAGCATGAGCAGACGCCGCACTCGCCTCAGCTTTCTCACTCCTGAACACCGTGCTGCCATCTGGCATCTTCTCCATGTACTAAAAAAACAACGGTAGCCAGCAGATAAGCGACATGACTGCATTGTAACCTGCATTGTAACCAGGAGATTTTTTTAAAGATTTGTTTTTCGATTTTTTAGACTTTCATTCCGCAAGTCTACCGACAGCGAGTCGATATTTTCGAGAAACGTAAAAAGCCACAGAAAAAAATAACATTGTGGTCCAGTGCGCGCCTCGTTGTAACTATGTACGTAAAACTCTAGGGGTGATCTGCACCTGTAGTGGGTAGGTTCTGCATACGATCAGCTCCAGGCAGCTAACGACACCTCCGTCCGCGTACAGAGAGCGGAGTGGCACGGCGAAGGGCCGGCCTGCCCCCTGCTGGTAGCCGAGGCGTGAGTCCCAGCGCGCCCTGCGTGTCGAATTCGCCGACAGTTTCAGCGCGACATCGTTCGTGACCTGCAACATTTTACTCACATCATTATACTGCATAAAGTCCACAGCGTTTTCTGAGATAGAAGGCTCCCAGCCTCCCAGTCTCAAAGCCACTAGGGGTCGTACATTCGGGAGCAGATAGAGTCTATGTGTACGCGGAATCTCCGGGTTACGAACGTTACGATAGTTTTGTTCGTGGGTCATCAGCTGTTTGTTTGGAACACGATCGAGAAGTGTGAATTGGCTCGTATGCGCTGGTACAATGTGTCTAGTCGCGAGTTCTGGTATGTTTCAGGTATCTGGTAACAAGTATATGTCGGTATATACGATTTATTATGCAGTAGGTACAGTTTTATGCAATAAAATTCTAGAGTAAAGTATCCCTTTAAATAAGGCAGGGCATCGTGTTCGAGGATTTGTAACGCGGGGACTTTAGGCTGTAGGCAGAGACACCTACCTCGAGTGGGTGGCATCCGTCGGCTGTGCCGGTGAGCTCGGCTCCCTGAATGCACAGCTTGTCTCCCACGGCAACGCGTCCGGCCCGCACGAGCGCGGTCAGCGGGGCGTCCAGTACGGCTCTGCGCGGAGGAGCTGGTATTAATCATAGTGCTACTACTCGCCTTCATTTACAGTGCTTAGAGCACTGCTGACTATCGCGTAACAGAATTATTTTCATCTTTGTGAATTAACGAATCTGAATTAACAAAACCGAAACACGTGACAGACAGTGATTTGAGCTTAGGAGGGCATATATGTCCCACGTGGAAAATATAAACTGCAGAGTTGCATTCGGCTCTCGCGGCGGTTTCGAATGAGCTAGGGCAGCGCTTCTTAAACTGGTGAATGGTTCACCTAAAGGTGAATGGAATTTTTGGGGGGTGAATGAAACTTAAGGAAAACATAAGGAAATTTAGTTGCGGGTGAATGAAATTTTGTGATAAAGACTCGAGGGTGAGTGATACTGAAATAGTTTAAGAAGCACTGAGCTAAGGTACATATAGCGGTCAGCGGTGGTGGCAGAAGAAGTCGATTGTAAATGGGCATAAATCATTCAAGGGGGAGAGCGCTGCCGATTATCGAATAACAGAAGTCTTCGTGAATTAATTAATTTTAATTAACGAAACCGAAGCTCTTTCCTCCCGAACTCAGCTTCCTTCTCCGCCACGTTCCCTTGACCGCACGCACTCTCTGTCGCACCTTCTTCTTAATCCTCACCTCCTGCGTAGCAGACAGTGACGCAAGCAGGTGGCAACGCGAGAACGCGGCTGATGTTCAGCGATGGCCGTGCCCTCACCTGATGCTATACCATCCGTCGGTCAGTTGCACGCCGGCCGACACCGCCCCGGTCGCGGGGGTCGCTCCCTGGACGCCGGCATCCGACCGTGAGAGAACGGTCGCCGCGCGATCCACGAGAGAGGGCGCCACTGAGCTGACGCAGAGCACCATGGTCTTGCCGGGCGCGTCGTCCCGCTCGGTGATTCGCCGCAGGGTCGGCCGCGTCGCCGCGTCGATCTCAACGTCGTACCGGTACTTGAGCTGGTGCATCACGACATCCGGAGTCAGGCACCTGCGTGGATGCACGCACGTTACCACGGTAACAGTCGCTGGCTCGTGGAAGTCAAGGATGCACGTAACCACGGTAACAGTCGCTGGCTCGTGGAAGTGAGGTAAGCTCGAGCCAATGGCGTGGCGAACCGAATTTAAGTCACATGTGATCGGCTGACATTACATGAAGAATAGATCAATTGACACTGCATAAAAAAACTGACATGATCAGATACGTTTATATTCACATATATATATATAATATCAGGAGTGTATAATATAGACTTAAGATATAGATATTTATTATTAGATTATTATAGATATAATATCTTACATACCAGCCTGCAAACTGCTGCGGAAAAGCCACTTCTAGTGCTGCTAGCTTCCACACGATCCACCGGTAATGGTTGTACACCCAGCGCATGGAGATGAGCTTTGGGTCTACACCTGGGCTGTCCATCAGGGCCCTGGGAAGCGTGATTATACCAAGTCACACACAGGTACAGAAAACACAATCCGTATTATTGGGCGAGACAACAGCAGCCAACAGCAGCAAGCAGCAGCGACTACAGCAACTACAGCAACAAGAGCAACGACGCAACAAGCAACAACCACGCAACAGCGTGTAGTATTAACATACTACGCGATATTCTAAACGTGATATAAATCATAAAAATCTAGAATCTCTAAACATCTAAGAAGTACGCGTGGAATCGGAAGCAGCATGCTTCTATCCCTACGCTAGCAACGAGAAATGACAAGAGTCGCTTCATCCGGTAATTACTATTTATCAATTAATCCCACACCTGCAGAACTCCTGCTTGCCTACGGTGCTATCGACTGCGAAAACAAGCAGCGCGCCGTCAGCTATCCTAGCGCCCTCTGCATTATCACACAGCGCTCGGCTGAAGTGCTCCAAACAGTTGAATCGATATTCTTCGGCCGATGCAGAGGTTACCGAGAGAGTGACGGTGCTGCCACCGCACGACTCGAACTGTGAACGTGTGAGAAGTAGCAGATGAACACAAAGGGAGTCCTCTAAAAAGCAAAATTTCATCATTCTATTCTATCCATTCAAGGTCAATCTAATCTTCGACTTCTTGATCTAAAAATATTTTTGCATGATCTAGCACATCGTGTGTGAATGAAGATTGCTTGCATATATACTTAAATGAATAGATTTTCTTACTTTTATATTTCTTATTATATATTATTTTACATTTATTTCTTATTTTATTATTGTTTAGCAGACATACAAATTGGAGCTTCATTTTCCGCAAGCAGTTAAACTAGTATGTAAGTTGCTAACTGTAACCTAATAATATGTGACCGAGATACATACAGCTTTGCTGTTGTGAGAGAAAAACATGATCGATCATATTCATACACAACCAGTGTGGATACAATACACAACAGCCTGCATACACTGATCTGCATTAGCATCGGCCTCAAGGTCACAGAAATCTAATTAATCGATAGATTAATTTAACATATCGTTACCGATATCTCCGACTTGAGCTCCTCCAACGCGATTCTAAGATGGCCGCCACGAGGTCTCGTGCTGCAAGTGGTCAATTCTCCCGCGTTCACGCTCACGATCCTGGACAGGTCACCTCCGCGCCACTGGACGCTGCTCAAGGCGAGAAACTCCCCCGCCTTCACCGTGTCGTCCAATCCCTGGCTCTGCAGAATAAGATCAGAGTTGTGATCACAAGCAGCTGAATTAATTCGGCAAATTAGCATCTGAGGCACTGATGAGACCCGATTACAAAGGCTCACTGTTGCACTCAATAGGGGCACTGATGTCAAGCCAACTACTGTCTCACTGACTGTTACACTGACTGTCTCACTGACTGTTACACTGACTGTTACACTGACTGTAACACTGACTGTAATACTGACTGACTGGTTGGCTTGCAGACTGACTAATTAATTGAGGTAAGAACCAAGTATCTCAAACATCTATCCATGCTATAACACACACGCACGCACGCACGTGCACATGCGTGTACACACGCACGTAGCGTTCGCTATCATATGCTACGACAAGATTCTATAACTGCACTTGTAGAGAAGTATTGATCATGCTATATGCAATGCATGTATGATCACCAAATTTTGAAACACAGCATTATACAAATGAACAGTTTATGTATGTAAAATAATAACAATTATATTTCTGATCAATATTTACAAAATCAACGTTGATTAAACGACAAAAATCTCGTATCACATCGAGTATACGTGGTGTTTTCTCGATGGCTTACATCTCTCGTTGCTACTACTGCATTTACTCCACACCATTTCGCTCGCTGTCTCTGCGCCACTCTGAAGTATCTCCTACATGCACAGGGGGCACTGCGATAGGAGAGCCATCAGACGGGCTGTGGTTGCCCGGGTTACGGCGTCTGCTCGACCTACGCCTCAACTTCCGTGGGTTTGTTGTCGTTGAAGCAAGTGGCTTGGAACAGTTCCCACTGTTAGACTGCTGGGGGGTGGGGAGGGACTGCTGGGGGCAACATAGCTTGCAGTTAGCAACTTACATACTAGATAAGCGCTCATAATACATACCAATAACATATATCATAACATATATCATAATACAGTGCGTTCGCGCACATAGGTTACAGTTAGCAACTTACATACTAGATAACCGCTCATAATACATAACCATAACATATATCATAACATATATCATAATACAGTGCGTTCGCGCACGTAGGTTACAGTTAGCAACTTACATACTAGTTTAACTGCTTGCGGAAAATGAAGCTCACATTTGTATGTCTGCTAAACAATAATAAAATAAGAAATAAATGTAAAATAATATATAATAGAGAATATAAAATAAGAAAATCTATTCATTTAAGTATATGCAAGCAATCTTCATTCACACACGATGTGCTAGATCATGCAGAATATTTTTAGATCAAGAAGTCGAGATTAGATTGACCTTGAATGGATAGAATAGAAATGATGAATTTTGCTTTTTAGAGGACTCCTGTGTGTTCATCTGCTACTTCTCACACGTTCACAGTTCGAGTCGTGCGGTGGCAGCACCGTCACTCTCTCGGTAACTCTGCTCATCGGCCGAAGAATATGATTCAACTGTTTGGAGCACTTCAGGCAGACGAGCGCTGTGTGATAATGCAGAGGGCGCTAGGCTAGCTGACGGCGCGCTGCTTTGTCTTCGCAGTCGATAGCACCGTAGGCAAGCAGGGTTCTGGCAGGTGTGGGATTAATTGATAAATAGTAATTACCGGATGAAGCGACTCTTGTCATTTCCTCGTTGCTAGCGTAGTGATAGAAGCATGCGCCTTCCGATCACGCGTACTTCTTAGATGTTTAGAGATTCTAGATTTTTATGATTTATATATCACGTTTAGAATATCGCGTAGTATGTTAATACTACACGCTGTTGCGTGGTTGTTGCTCGTTGCCGTCGTCCTTGCTGTTGTTGCTGTAGTCGCTGCTGCTTGCTGCTGTTGCTGCTGTGTCTCGGCCTAATAATACGGATTGTGTTTTCTGTACCTGTGTGTGAGCATGGTATAATCACGCTTCCCAGGGGCCCTGATGGACAGCCAGGTGTAAGACAAAAGCTCATCTCCCATGCGCTGGCGTGGTACAACCATTACCGGTGATCGTGTGGAAAGCTAGCCAGCACTAGAAGTGGCTTTTCCGCAGCAGTTTGCAGGCTGGTATGTACGCTATTATATCTATAATAATCTAATAATAATATCTAGTCTATATTATACACTCCTGATATTATATATATATATGTGAATATAAACGTATCTGATCATGTCAGTTTTTTTTATGCAGTGTCAATTGATCTATTCTTCATGTAATGTCAGCCGATCACATGTGACTTTAAATTCGGTTCGCCACGCCATTGGCTCGAGCTTACCTCACTTCCACGAGCAGCGACTGTTACCGTGGTTACGTGCATCCTTGACTTCCACGCGCCAGCGACTGTTACCGTTGCTGTGTAACGGTGCGTCAGCATCACGCAGGTGTCTGACTCCGGATGTCGTGACATGCACCAGCTCAAGTACCGGTACGAGTTGAGATCGACGCGGCACGCGGCCGACCCTGCGGCGAATCACGAGCGGGACGACGCGCCCGGCAAGAACCATGGTGCTCTGCGTCACTGTCAGTGGCGGCCCTTTCCTCGTGGATCGCGCGGCGACCGTTCTCTCAGCGGTCGGATGACGGCGTCCAGGGAGGCGACCCCCGCGACCGGGCGGCTGTCGGGCCGGTGCCGACTGACGACGATGGTCTACGATCAAGGTGAGGGCACGGCCATCGCTGAACATCAGGCCGCGCTGTGTAACGCGTTCTCGCTAGCTTGCACATGCTGCGCTC